TTCAAGATCATCAAACAAATTGGTGATAATGCCTTTCAACTTGAATTACCACCATACATGCATATGTACTCGGTCATCAATGCCGAGAATCTTAAGCTTTTTGAGCCATCTCTACTTGATGATGATCCCGACGAAGACATTCGGCTTCCATCAGTTGATGACTTAAAAATTGAACTAGAAGACCCTTTGCTGAAGGATTGTATCTTGGAGCAGAAGGTTCGTGAGACCCGACATGGAAAGTATGAGTATTTTCGTATTGGCAGTAAAGGGCAACTTCCCAGCAAATCGAAATGGTATATTCGAGACAAGGCTACTCAAGAATTTCCACATCTCACCATTTAACTTGAGCAGGAGCTCAAGGTCTTAAATGGGAGAGCCATGATCCAGGTGGATCTTTTCAAGATAATTAAATAATAAATATTAATTAAATTAAATAATTTATCAACCATTCGACTCGAATGGTTTAAGAAGAAATGGTTCTGAACCATTTAAAAATTAATGGTTTGAATTACCTAAAGAATTTAAACCATTTAACATTTGTGGTTTAAATTCATTTATTATTTTTAGTTTTCTATTCTAGGCATTCAGGCTTGTATATAAACCATTGTAGTTGAATGAATTAAGACAGGCAGAACTCAAAGCAGTTCCTTAGCTTCTTCCTTTTGTTTCTCTAAATCGTCTTAAAATTCCTCTCGTTCCCTTATTCCTATAAACTAGGAATTCATAGTTCTATCGACTAGAAGTTTTGGATCAATATCAGCGGAAGGTGAGGAAATAATGGGGACTATAGGAGGGTCTGGAGTGCCTATATATGTGTGAGGAGTAGGCAAAAAGAGGGGCAAAACACTTTGTGAGTTTTGTTGATGGTCATCTCGGGGTGCAGATGAATAAGGAAAAATATGTTCATGGAATTTGACATCTCTGCTAACAATAAATTGTTTTGTAGCCAAATCATAAAGCCTATAGCCCTTTTGACCTGTTGGATAGCCAACAAAAATACAACGACGGGCACGTGAATCAAATTTTTGTAATGGTTGAACAACAGTGGCATAGCAAAGACACCCAAATACCTTAAGGTGAGCAAGAGTGGGGGGTCGATTGTACAGTCTCTCATAGGGTGATTTGTTGGATAATAATGGAGTGGGTAGCCTATTCATAAGATAAACGGCAGTGAGAACACATTCCCCCCAAAAAATTAATGGCAAATTGGCTTGGAAGAGCAAAGCACGAGCCACACTGAGAATGTGACGATGCTTGCGTTCAACTACTCCATTTTGCTGTGGAGTGTAAACACATGAACGTTGAAATTCAACCCCATTATGAAGAAAAAAATCTCGCAATGAGAGAAATTCGGTTCCATTGTCGGCCCTTATCGCTTTGATGGTGGTATGAAATTGAGTACGAACAAAGGTGAAAAATGATTTTAGGAGGGATTGTGTTTCGGATTTATGAGTCATCAAAAATAGCCAAGTGCACCTAGTGTAATCATCAACAATGGTGAGAAAGTAACGTGCCCCAGAATGAGATTTAATTTTGTGGGGACCCCAAATATCACAATGTAACAAGGCAAAAGGCACATTAGAAGAGATGGAACTTAACGGAAAAGGTAATCTTGTCTGTTTCGCCATGGGACAAATATCACAATTATTCTCAAAAGAAACAGTACCAGAAGGAAGCACATTGGAAAGTAATTTGAGTCGAGCAGGCGAGGGATGACCAAGACGCTGGTGCCATAGGCTGGATGTGTGGGAAACATGGCAAGAAAGCGAGGCTGTGTTTAGCGGTGACATATAGTAAAGGCCTCCTCGCTGTTTACCCAAGCCAATCGTCCTTCCCGTAGCCAAGTCCTGTAACACACAAAAGACCGTAACGGTAGTTTGTAGGTAAAACTGGATAATCTCCATATCAAGGGCTAAACCAGGATAATAATATTCTAGCATGAATAGACAATACAGCTGCAGTTTCAATGCATACATCTTTGCATGATATCAATAAATCATTTAAGGATGCAACTTTTAAACAACTAGAACTAGCTCGAAGCAGGAAGACAATCCAAGCAGTTTTTATACCGAAAACTAGAAGTAGGAAATGAAAATCAGTTCTGAACTAAATATGTACTTTTAGTGTAGCTGTTGTATCCCGTTCCCTTATATTCTGATCCAATTGCTACCTCTCTTTGATCACGCAATCTTTCTTCTTCTGACTGCATACCATTTTAAATATTAGGAAAAACGTATAACAGAAAATGAATGCGAACATGTTCCTCAATGTATATATGAGACAGCAAAAGATGCGTATATAATTCTAATGAACATAATTAATAAAAATCAATAACGTGATGAAGTTTCTGTATATTTCTTCAATATCAACGTTTGTACAGGATGTATACATATATGGGTGATACAAGGAACTATTCTAGGAAGCTATTCTAGGCTATTAAGTAATTGAGGCTATGATTGAGGTTGACCCACAATATGCGAAGTCCAATACAAATAAGGAAAATGTAATCCCTACAATCAAGTCATTTTATTCTCAACAATAATGGTATGATGAGTGAACCACACAGATTCTATCATCAGATAAGAAGATAATTAGTGAAAGCCTAGCCAAGTTTTGAAGCACTACCTATGGATAAATTTTAAAATATATATAAAAATAAAAGAAACCTCTGAACCATCATCGTCATATGGGGAGATTTGTCTTTTTAACTCATCTTTCTTCTTCCTCTTGTCCTTTCAAAAGTTAAAAGAATTAATCTCATCATCTTCATCTTCTTGACTTTTGACTCAAAAGTCAAGTCCTTCTTCCTGAATCGTTTCTTATGGAATCAGCTTTCCTGGACTCAGAAACAACCTGGGCAGAAGATCTATCGCCATCATCGTCATCCAAGAGAGAATATGTCTTCTGCTTCTTCACCAACATCACAGCTTCCCGCTCTTGTTTCTGATATAGCTGATATACACGAGTAACAAGCAGGAAAGACACGATGTCATAGTCATAGACAAATAAAACCGGAGGCTAAAATCCCAAGTCTACACATTCATTTAATTTTGAATAACAACTCACATTCAAACCAGATTCTTTACGGGGCACTCTTGCGAATATGTCTTCAGAAAATGCACTTGTTTCGGCCGAAGAGGACAGCCCAAATTCTTTACTGGGGTCGCGGGTCGGGGCCTGGTGGTGGTAGCAGGTGGAGACCTGGCGGTGGTGGTCTGTCATGACTCGTGATGAGAAGGAGGCCACGACTCAGAGGAGGCAGCGTGTTTACTTTGAAGTCGGGAAAACAATTATTATTAAAAAAATAAAAACCAGGCCGCCTAGGCGCCCGTCTAGGCTCGTAGGCCGATTTTACTTGTTTTTTTTTTTTTTTTTTTTTTTTTTTTTTTTTTTTTGTTGTTGCCGATTTTACTACACAATCCATTTTGTGGTATGGCCTAGCAGGTGGAGACCTGGTGGTGGTGGTCTGTCATGACTCGTGATGAGAAGGAAGCGACGACTCAGACGAGGGCAGCGTGTTTTCTTTGAAGTCGGGAAAACAATTATTATTAAAAAACAAAAACCATGCCGCCTAGGCCGATTATACTACACAATCCATTATGTGCAGCCTTTAATATATTTGAATATACTTTTCACATTCCAAATTGGTCTGTATGCAATCAAACTATTTGTCATAGGATAGAGAGATGCAATTATTTAGTGAATAATTAGTATTTAAATATTTTAATTAATTTCATAAATTGGTTGATAAATAGTAATTAATATTTTAGATTATTTTGTGGACTTTTTAAATTTTTTAAAATACAAAATTAGTTTGTTTAGTTTAATATTTGTAATCAACTAATATATTAGGCTTATTTAAGTACTTTAAATTTAATTAGTAATTATATTTTAATTATGATTTATTTAGTGAATAATTAGTATTTAGATATTATCATTCATTTTATAAGTTACTTAATAAATGGTAATTAAATATATTTAATCTTAAATAATTTTGTTGAATTTGAAATTATTTAAAAATAGTTTCAATTATGTAAAGATCCTAGAAAATTATTTTAGTATTCCAAAAATGGATTTTAGCATCCAAACCCTAAATCCAACTCTCGAACCAAAAACCATAGCTTATGAACTTATCCTAACTTGTTGCAAAAACGTTCGAGACCTCGAACCCTAACCGTAAACCTACTGTAGGTGACTTAGGACTCTATTAGCTTTGGATAATTACGTAACTCGACCTAGGGTTTTACGATTAAGGTTTTGATCTCAATCTTGGGTTAGTACGACGTAACCAAATAAAACCTAGACATGTCTTGGCGAATTTTTTTTGGGATAGAACTACCTCAATGAACTTTTTCTATCCTTACGAACTTTGATGGGATAGACTTATCCTATTGAATATGTGTCACGATAGATCTTTCATGTCGAAATTGTATAGGGATTCCAACAACAAACCACTTGTTAAAGAGGCAACAAACATTGAAGTATTTTTCTTATCAATGTTGTATTTATCCCCAATTTAGGAATATGAAAAATTAAATAAAATTCGATAAAGAGAAAGGGGCATTTTCACATTCCAAATTGGTTTGTATGTAATCAAAATAGACATAGGATGGAGATGATGTAATTATTTAGTGAATAATGAGTATTTAAATATTTTAATTAATTTCATAAGTTACTTAATAAATAGTAATTAATTATATTTAATTATATTAAATAATTTCATAGAATTTAAAATATTCATATATATATATGAATATATTTAAGGAGTATAACTGCTCAACGATACTATTTAAATATTCAAATATATTTAAACAGTATAACTGCATAAATATATTAAAAAGTATAGCCGCGACTGTACTTTTTATGTTGAGGTGGTGTGTTGATTAGCCAGCCCTCTTCATCATAACCCATCATTATAGTCTCTCTCCAATACTTTTTATATTCAAATAATACAATTTTCATTGGTTGAACTATTAAGTCCTCTTTCATCATAACCCATCATTATGGCCTCTCTCCAATACAAATAAATCCGAATCGAATTGGTCTTTATCTCTTTTCCATAAAAAGGGTGTATTGGGCTAGGCTAGGGTCATCACTTCTCAACAAAGCTGGTCCAAGAAGATTGGGCATGTAGCCTTCGTAGTAAATTGTGCTTTCTTTGGGCCTTTAGCCCATCTTGTAAAAAACAGAGTATACCCAAATCAACGAACTTATATATATATATATATGTCATCCATGTGACGTGGACCGTACCACAGAATTTATACGTTAAAACGTATTCTTGAATAATTCATGGGCATTGGTGGTGTGAGTCTTTTGGGGGGGTATGTATGCGGAGAGCGGTCTCCTCCCTCGTGAGTCGTGTCTCCTGTCAGCCGCAGTCCCCCCTTCCTGTGGGCCCCACGGACACTAATAATAAAACTTGAAATTGGATTAAAGACAAAGCTAACCGACAATCCTCTCTTATTCCCAGAGGATAATTAGGCCCCCTCTGAAACATCTTAAATGCCCTTTATTTATACTTTCTAAAACTCCTAAACCTCCCTTATTAATGGTAAAAGACCGAGTTCAAGTTAGCTGCTTCGCTTTTGCATTTACCTTTTTGACCTCGCTTTGGTTCGGTGTGGTTTGGTAAAGTAGTGGAGTAAAAGCGATGTGGGAGGGAGGGTATAATAGTCTATTCAGATTTTCAAAGCGGCTACTTTTTTTACCCCGATTTCCCAGCTCTTGGATCTTTGCGAATCTTAAACTTTTTTGAAATTCGAATGGCATGACGAAGGTGCCCGCCACACTTTACAAGCTACAGCAGCGTTTTTACAAAATTGACCCTCCATTAAATTTCAGTCGGTCGAGTTGCACACCACTTAAATTATAAATTCATATTGAATATTTAATTCTGCTTTAACTTAAACTTGGAATTTGAATTTGTTTTTTAATTATACTTTACGTATATGTTTCTTTTCTCATTGTGAGGAAACAATTTTCACTATTTGTACTCTCTCTTTTCATGGCCAAAAACATGGGTCTTTATTTCATCATTTCAATATTCCTCCAAATTGAATGTTTAATATTTCATATAGATATATAGGTAGAAGGGCTTAAATGTTTAAATATTTGAAATTCCACAAATTATCATTGGTTTATGCTTAAATATTTCATTAGATATATATTTTTTTAATTATAAAATTCGGTTTTTGAAGATTAAAATATAAATTTTTTAAAAAAATTATAAGTAGCCCACGCTAGAAAGGCTAGTTATTATAAAACAGGGCAGAGCACATGATGTTCCCAAAAAGTTTGAGAATATTTAAAGGGTACTACGGTAATTTAACACTTGCAAGATGATACAAAAGGAAGGACAATCTTGTAAAACTGGATTCAAGAATCTGGGCCCAAAAGTGAAAAAGTGGGTAAGTTTCTCTCTCTTTCTTGAGGAAGAGCACTATTAGCAGCGATAGTAACTTTGTCTCGCTTCTCCACTTTGCTTTAGCTTAAACTCGCAGCACCACACCTCGTCTCCCCCACCCTCTCTCTCTCTCTCTGCGTGTGCGCGCTCTGGTTTCTCGTTTCTCTCTCCTAGGGTTTCTCTTCCACTGAAACGCTCTCTGTAAAGCACTCTTCTTTCTGTTGCTGTAAAGCTATCTCCTTTCACACATTCTTTTTCCACTCACATTCTGTACTTTTTTGTTGTTGTTTTGTTTTAATCTCTCTTTTTCTCTCCATTGCATGTTTCAGATGCGCTTAACCCCTCTTTCTGCTCTGCAGGTAAACTCCCTCTCTGCTTTTTTGTTTTTCGTTTAGTTTTTCTATATTTGGTTCTTGCTTTCTGTGTACTAAATTTCTATTTTCTGTTCCTTGTTGTGCTTAAATTTATTTAAGGTTCGATAGGCTCTCTGAGGTTTTGATAGGAAGTGAAGAACAATGTCCTCGTCCAGAGGGGGTTCGGATCAGCCACCTCCGCAACTGCAGAGGCGGTTAACTCGAACGCAGACCGCCGGTAACCTCGGGGAGACGGCATTCGACAGTGAGGTTGTGCCCTCTTCCCTCGTCGAAATCGCCCCCATTCTTCGTGTCGCCAATGAGGTCGAATCGCACAATCCCAGAGTTGCATATCTCTGTAAGCTTCATAGCCATAACTTTTGCTTAGAAGTATTTAATTTAGTTTACCTTACTGTTGTGTTTATCAATTAATGAGTTACTTGTTTATAATTCCAGTAAAATAGTTTTAAGTATTTTATTTGTATCCGGGTCTGTTTCTTTATTTGCATTATGGAACTTGTTCAACTTTTTATGTAGTTGTTGGTACCTAAGTAATGCACAGGAAAATGAAAAATTTAGCCTTTGTTTCTTTGCCTGTGCCTTATTCAACTTTTTATGTAGGCATTTGTGCACCAGAGCATATATTGTGCTTGTTTCCTTGCACGTGCGCACATACTTGCTTCTGTGCTTCCGACTCTTGTCTGCATAGGGTGCATGTGTCTTCATTGCAATAACGTTTTTAGCATCCATTATTTTCAAATTGAAAGATTCATTTATGTATTGATGGTTTGAAGGTTTTCGAGCTATGTTAGAAGTCTCTTATATATTTTAGAGATTCATTGTTTCCTTAAAGAAAAAAAGAATATGGTAACTCTTGCTTCTTATACCTGTTATGGCAATTAGAAAGAGGTCTGAGAAACAAGGGCTGACTGATATAATTTGGTGGTTCTTTCTGAATATGCAACATCTTTGAAATTTATTCCACTAGTGATTGGTGATGTAAGGCAGTCAAGTCAGTTTCTTGATTTAACCATACGCAGAAAGGCACTAATTGTACATTGTACTGAACCTTTAAATGCATGAAGCTAAAACAAATTTAACTATTTACTGTAGCAGCATACACGAGAGTCAGAAGTAATGATAACTTTAACCTTTTTATTTTATTTTTATTTCGACTGTCTAGATTTTAAATTAATTGATTTTATCTTGATGTTACTTCCTTTCTCTAAATACGGAGTAGATTTTGTTATACTTGATTAGTTTGCATGCTGTGTGAGATGTGTTAACAACTTACCATTGCCATCTCTAGAAAATTAAAAATCTAGGTCTTGGCTGTTCACGTCATCTGTTTTTTTTTTTTTGGTCCTTTGTTCCCCATCATTTGTTCTCTTGTTTCTCTTGTTTCTCTCATTTAAATGTTCCAGGTCTGATGTTTGTTTCATCTAATATTTTCTTAAGTCAATATGTTTTAATATCTAATTTATTTTTTTCATCATGTGAGATATGATTCCATGCTGGATGTTTTTGTAGGTCGATTTTATGCCTTCGAGAAAGCTCATAGACTGGATCCCACTTCTAGTGGGCGTGGTGTTCGTCAGTTTAAAACGGCCCTTCTTCAACGTCTTGAAAGGGTATGCTTTATTATTATGTTATCTTCATATAAAGTGCATTGAGATGTGATTAGAATTAAGCTCTTCTCTTTATCTACACATAGTCCTTTAAAATTTCTGCCCCTTTGTATAAATAATCAGTTTATTTAAAAAAAGAAATAATTTGCAGCTTTGTGCATAAATTTTTTCATATACTAGGAAGAAAGATTTTAAACAAGTTCAGCCCCATTGTA